ATTCTTGAAGGATTCAAGTACTTAATCATACATGTCATTAAATTAAATCTAGTTATGAAGAATAAACTAGAACGAAATACATAAACGATTAATAAGTATGAAGTACTTAATAATAGTTGTGAGAAGATGGCTTTATGCTTTATAACTCTTGAGTGAGGCATAGATTACCTAAAGTAATCAAGAATATATTTTATTGAATGATTAAAGATAATCAAGTATGTGTTATGCCATGATTATATTTAAATTATGGTTGAAAAGCATGTTAAGTAAGCTTGATGATTTAAAATGTGATATTAATTATGTATGATGTTCCAAGGACCCAAAAATGTATTTTTGGATTGAGGAAGTCAAGAAGTACATGTGTATAAAATTTCATGTAAATCGGACTTCGTTTGTGCGGTCAAACGGGCGTTGATCGCCAAGTCAAAGGCTATACCCGACCGGGTATAAGTAAATACCCGACCGGGTATTAGCTAAAATCAGTTCCAGAGGCACTGCCTCACCATACCCGACCGGGTATGGGTAAATACCCGACCGGGTATTAATTGGAAATGGTTTCAGGGGCTACTGTCTCACCATACCCGACCGGGTATGGGTAATACCCGACCGGGTATTGGGTTATACACCCAATATGCAGTTTTTGAGTAAGTTTATGTGGGCCGTTCGGGTGGGACCCGTCCACATTGGTTGCTAAGGCTTCAAATACGGTTTAAACGCTAAGACTTGGACTAGTCGTTAGTAAAGAAATTATAGACCACGACCGGGCGAGGTATGTGGTAGATTATACATGGCGGGTGAATACCCGGGACCGAGTAAGGTTGGGTAAAACTCTGTAGGACCAGGAGGAGTCCTTTATACTCAAATGTTAACAAGGGCCCGTGTAGTCCTTGAGGTGTGTTAACCTCCAGCAAATTACACATAGGTAACAAGGGCAAATGCAGTCCTTGAGGTGTGTTAACCTCCATCAAATTGCATATAGGTAACAAGGGCCCGTGTAGTCCTTGAGGTGTGTTAACCTCCAGCAAATTACACATAGGTAACAAGGGCAAATGCAGTCCTTGAGGTGTGTTAACCTCCATCAAATTGCATATAGGTAACAAGGGCCCGTGTAGTCCTTGAGGTGTGTTAACCTCCAGCAAATTACACATAGGTAACAAGGGCAAATGCAGTCCTTGAGGTGTGGTATCCTCCATCAAATTGCATATAGGTAACAAGGGCCCGTGTAGTCCTTGAGGTGTGGTATCCTCCAGCAAATTACACATAGGTAACAAGGGCAAGTGCAGTCCTTGAGGTGTGGTATCCTCCATCAAATAGCACATAGGTAACAAGGGCACGTGTAGTCCTTGAGGTGTGTTAACCTCCAGCAAATTACACGTAGGATGAGGGTGTATGCGTACTCCTCAAGGCGGGGTTAGCCCCGGGAATGTAAACTATGATTGTAAGGACGGATAGTCCTCGAGGTAGGTGAACCTCAAGGTAATGATTTTAAATGATTAAACGTGCTTGATCGGGAATGAGTTTCCGATAGGATATTTTCCTTGGTCTAGGAATTGATTTAAACCATGTCCGTGATATGGGAGTCCGAAGGGCCCCCACAGTAATTATATTTTGATATCGGGTGAGTCAGCCTGCGGGTGACTCCACTCGAGGGTAAGACATTGGAAGGGTGAATTTAATGAGGCTGTTACGCCTAAATGATTTGAAAGACAAATGGGCCCACGGGCCGGATATTTTACTCATATGTATATATGTATACATTTTGTTTTGAAAAGGGGTAGCTAAGAGTTATGCCCATAATTATACTATCACCCTATTTTGAGGGTCTCACGTGAGAAACGTTAGTTACATTACATACAGTTTGCCCTCACCAGTACTTTTCTGTAGTACTGATCCCTCGGGGGAACCACCCTTTCAGGTTGAAGCTAGAGCTTACTTCCTGCACCCGTTGCTCGGGAGATCGATGGAGAGAAGACGTGGTTCGTGCTTCCTCTGGTTCTATTTCTAAATAATTAAATAATGCTCATGGAACTATTTTGACTTATAAATTAATGGAGCCTGCGAGCTCTTGTTTTACCCCTGTGTGGGTTCTTATTAAACACTTATATTCCTCTATGTGTTTGATTGTATGTTGATGTTGTTATGTATGTTTACTAATCGGTTTTGGCATATGTATCTATCGGACGTCTTGTGCAATTCGGTAAGGATGAACTGCGGTTATTCTTAGGGTATGTTTGGCACAACTAGCTGAAAAGGTATTTCTATAAGCTTTTTTGTAACTGTTAGCTTTTAGTGACTGATAAGATCTTAAAAGAAAAAGGTAGTAGCTGTTTGATAAAAAGTTGTCTGTTTGATACTTTGATTTAATCCTGTTTGGTATACAATCTGTTGGGAGTAATTGATGTTAAAATCTACAGATTTATCTGCGATGCTACGCACTGTAACATCTCAACAAAGATCTTTTATTTTTATAGAAGCTATTAAAAATTGACATGTCAAACATACAACTAGAAGCTTTTAAAGACTTTTTAAATAGTAAAAAAACTAGAAGGCAGAGACTTATGCGTGCCAAACATAGCCTTAATCGTTCGCTAAGAGATTAGTAGTGATTAAGGGGCCGTAAGCTCGCTCGTCTTGGCAATAATTTAGGATCCTGTTGCATGAGAGATCAGCCTGGTCCCTTAAATTATTGTACTCTATGCCGCGAGAGCGGTAAGAACTTAGTAATGATTAGCTATGCTCAATTAAATCAATTCCATGTAATTAGGTTTGATCTGCCAGAGGTTACCGCAGAATCAATCCCTGTTCCCTTCGTCGTTAATTAGAGAGAAACCAACCTTTTATTTTAATCACTCATTCGCATTAGTTAATTTTCATACCAACCATATCTCGCACGACGCATTTTTTTAATTTCTTTTTAATCGCTGAATTTAATTAATTCTTGATTCCTTTTTGTACGTCCTTGTGGAGACGATACTCGTACTTACACCACTATATTACGATCTATTTTAAGTGCGGGAAAACTCACATCAGATGCCAAACCAAAAGTTCCATAACCAAAAGGTGATATATGAGACATTCCCAAACTTTTGCTTCCAATGCAAGGTATATGGCCACCATGCTTTCACTTGCAAGGTCATAGCCGAGATGGAGGAAAAAGAAAGGGGCAAAGAGGAAGAAAGCTATGGAAGAAGGTGAGCCACAACCTACATCGGAAGAACCTAAGGGTGAGGGCAAGACTAAGAGTTTGGGTGTGGCTGAGCCTAAAGTCGCGGCCAAACCAAAGGTAAAGCCTAATTCCGCAAACAAATCCAACACAAAGCCTAAGGCCGCGGCATATGAAGAGAAGGTAACCAAGGAGGCGGGCGAGGGCTCTACATTACTAAAGAAGAAATACCATCATCCTTTCCTAAAAACAGTAAGGTTGAACAAAAGAAAGAGGTTAAAGGAGAAAAACAAAGAAGATGGTGAAATCACATCCGGTTATGAGACAAAGGAAGAAGAGGAGGGTGACCATAGGGTGATTAAAGCTTGTAAGGATATATTCAATGATGAAGTCATTATAACCGTGCATACGGATGAGGTGCTCACACCTACCATTCAAGTCAAACATTTGGATAAGGTGAGTGAACCTATCATACGGCTTAACCATCTTCTAAAAGTGGTTGAAGCCAACATACCTGGGGTATGGTTTACCAAAGCTTGTCTAGAGAGTTACCCGGAGTAAAGAAGACAAAGAGGTTCTATGTGTAACACCCCGGCCCCGTGGGACCCGAGGTAGTTACTCCGGACCAATAGTACTGTCCTCACAAACCGCCACTAGCCTTTTACGCGCACTTTGTCCTCACTCGTGCGCGCCCTGAGAAACTTCCCAGGGGGTCACCCATCCCAAGACTACTCCCGTGCAAGCACGCTTAACTTTGGAGTTCTTGGTGATGAGCTCCCTTAAAAGGAGATGCATCTTGTTGGTATGAGTAGTACTATTAATCCTCTTATATTAAACTCGGGTATTACAATCACCCCCACTTAGGATCGCAACGTCCTCGTTGCGCCCTTAAACCAATCTCAAATCTCTATCAAATCCCAGAATCTTTTCCCCCGCTAAGTGCCCGCCCGATATCCAACAGGTCATCACACTGTCGCGGGGTTGCTCTGATACCACTTGTAACACCCCGGCCCCGCAGGGTCCAAGGTAGTTACTCCGGACCAATAGTACTGTCCTCACAAACCGCCACTAGCCTTTTACGCGCACTTTGTCCTCACTCGTGCGCGCCCTGAGAAACTTCCCAGGGGGTCACCCATCCCAAGACTACTCCCGTGCAAGCACGCTTAACTTTGGAGTTCTTGGTGATGAGCTCCCTTAAAAGGAGATGCATCTTGTTGGTATGAGTAGTACTATTAATCCTCTTATATTAAACTCGGGTATTACACTATGCCTTCTCGGCCATATTCATGAGATGTGCCTATAAATACTTCCTTGATAGATACTTTGGGGATGGGCATCCTATGTTCAATGGAAGCAAAGTCATGCACCCAAATTTGATAAAAAAAAAAAGAAAGAAAGAAAGCTGTGTGGTGGATGATTTAAGGGAAGCATACTCAGATGATGTGATCACCAAAGTTGAGTTTGAGGAAGATGGGGCATATAAGCTACACTTGATGCATGGGGGACATGTGAAGGAGATAATGACAAGACTTGACAACTACTTAGTCATTGATGAGGGCAAAAGAGATGGCATTACTTTTACATCCGCATGTTTGGACTCACGCTCGGGAGCTACTAACATGGATGAAGGGTATGATTTCTCCTACCCTTTTATGCTTAAAGTTTAGCCTCTCTTTCTTGATAGGTACAAAGGATGTGATAGCTATAGAGAATGAGTATAACAAGAAAGAGAAAGGAACAAGTTTTACAAGAGGGTGAAGGGGAAGGATAAACATTTTTAATGTTTATAGCTTCTTGGCGCGCACGAGTGAGGACAAAGTGAACGACTTCGGAAACCCAAGGAAGGAACCACCGTCGTGCACTGTTCACCACCGTCAAACGAACCGCCCTCGTGAAGGTTTTAAGGTCCATTGTTCAAGCTTAACACATATGGCTGAAAGGTATGTAATTTTTTCAATTTTTTTTTTGGATTTTTTGAATTGATACTATCTTGGTGTGTAAATTTTGTGTTGTTTGTCATTGTGTTTGTCTGAACACTTTGAACTTGTCTGTGCATGGTTGTTTGGTTGTGTGTGTCACTGCATTTTGAATTCTTGAAAGTTGTCTGTGATGTCATTAGAGTTGTCTGGTCAGGCGTATGAGATGTCTGTCATTTGAAATGAATTGTCTGGCAAGCCATTTGTAGTTGTTTATCATGTGAACATAGTTGTCTGGCAAACCATTAAAATTATTGTGTAGTTGTCTGTTAGGTGAACATAGTTGTCTGGAAAATTATTGTGTAGTTGTCTGTTAGGTGAACATATATAGTTGTCGGGAAAGCTTCCACAGTTGAAAGTATGAACACCCTCAGAGTCTGGCAAGTTTTGTTAATGAGATGTTTTAAATGTAAATTTTGTTAGCTATGAATGCTTTATAATCTATGACCCTTGAATGTAATTTTTGAGTTAAGAATGGTTTAAAAACTAAGTAATGTGTCAAACTGTCAAATCATACCCTTTGGTATGATTTCAACTTTCTGAAATATGAAACTTGGTTTATAAGGTTTCTGGTTTTAAGTATGAACTCCAAGTGTAAAATATCATTCTTACCAGATAACCTTCTTTTACTTATCAGTTTTTCTTGCATTAATGTCTAACAAATTTAAACATTAATTTGTTCAACCGTATAACCTTGTTATGAAATATTCAACACAAATTTAAACATTAATATGTTCAACTATATAACCTTCTTACTAAGGACACACATAATTTTCTGGCAAACCATTAAAGTTGTCTGGCTCCTCATTTTGACATAGACTTGTTGTGCATGTGATTTGAAATTGCTTATATTGTTGTGGACGTTGTCTGTCCTGTGAACATACTTGTCTGTCAAGTGATATAAAATGTCTGTCCTTCCTTCTGAGTTGTCTGAAATGTTTGATTTGTATTTGTGTTAATTATACAGGTCATTTGAAGTACAAATTTCATTTCGCAAGCACTTTCCAGCCTAGTTATCTATGTGCTCATATTTCAGAGAGGCTGTAAGCTTGGTCAAAGCTGCGCTGACAAAGGACCAATTAGAAGAATTTAAGAAATTGCCATGGGGCCACCTAGTATCCGTGTCAGACATGCAATTTTCTGGCCAAATCATCCATTCTCTACTGCTGAGGCTAGTCAAGGACCAACCTAAAGATGAGCTGTGGTTCTTGATTCAAGGGAGGCTGTTGAAGTTTACGTATGCTGATTTCTGTCGCATATCCGGTCTCAAATCATCAGCGGAAAATCCTGTCTTTAATGATGATGAAGAAGTGCATGGGACGCTAATTGATTTGTACTTTCGTGGATCCACGAACATCACGTACAAAATGTTGAAGGACAAGTTGAAGTCATTTAGGCGTACAAAAAAAGGAGATCCTGTGAAGTTAGTGTCTGTTTGTTACATTATGACGGCCTTAATTGCTCGGGATAACAAAACCAAGATAAATTTGGACTATTTCAAGTGGGCTGATGAGTTCGAGAAGTTTAAGATGTATCCATGGGGTTTGGAGTCCTATAACACCATGATTGACAACTTCAAAAGTATCATGAAAGAGCAGCCCACCAGGTTCAGGCAAAGCAAGGCCTCATGTGCTAAGTTCACTCTATATGGATGTCCTTTTATTCTACAGGTATTTTTCTCATTCATTTGTAGTTTAATGTTGAGACAGACATTTGTATGTGCACACAAATGACTTAGTAATGAAGACGGACATATTAATTTTATAAATTTTTTTAGGTTTGGGCGTATGAAAATGTGCCTAACCTAGGCGAACAATGCGCTGAACGTATTGGTAATGAAGAAATTCCTATGCTGAACTGGAAGGCCGATGGATTCTTTCATGCACGCAAGTTGAACGAATTGGTTTTCAAGGACAATGATGATGTATTATATCTTATTTTGCTGATTTTTGCATTCAAATAACATCGTATTTTAGTCTTTAAATTTCTGTATAGGTGGAAGATGAATCTGAGAATGACAACTTGGATGAAGAAGTTCAGGACAGGGGTTTCAAAGCCAAAGTGATTGATGAGATTCAAGCGCTCCAGGAGCATGTGGCAGCTTTGGAAAGCAGGTTGAAGTTGATGGAAGACAGATTCAGAGAACAGGGTGGGGTGCCAGAGAAGGAGACTGAGGTAAATAATATTTGATGCCACCACATTCTTTCTGATTTTTTCATTCAGAGTGGTGGTGTTAATACAATGGGTGTGTAGGTTGGTCCGGAGCATGTGACTTTGGACATGGAAGTTGATGGTCATGAGCAGGAGGCTGATGTACTTTGATGTCTTCTTGTGTGTATATTTTGGACATTGTGTGTTAATACAAAGCTTCTGCAGGTTGGTTCTCAACATAAAGACGAAGTTGACTGTAGCATAGGTGTTCATGCAGAAGCAGGAGTACAGGAGGTTGAAGATGAGCCAGCGCCCACCGAAGAAGTAAGTGAAAATTCATATCCCATTGAAAGTGATATTGTCTGTCTACAGACATGTTAAAAGTGTCATGCACTTCATGGTGGATTTAATGTAGGTGGGTGCAGCTGTGGGTGAACCACCTGACCCAATGACCGTAGTACATGATACTACAAATTCAAATGAGATAATATCATCCATCCTTATTGAAGTAAGTGCATACCTATGTGTGATACGAAAATTATTTTAAAGTGACCAATCATTTTAACACTCAAGCATTTGGTTGATTTAATGTAGGTTACTGACGTTGTGACTGAACCATCTGCACCCATAGCCGTGGTAGATGATGAAAATAATGTTAAGGAGTGTGATGCTACTACTGCTTCGAATCATATGATCTCACCTGCTCTTCTTGAAGTAAGTCAATATGTCTGTCTTTACAACATTAAAATGTCTGTTTACAGACATTTTGACAAAGCCTTGCAAGTTATGGTAAAATGTAGGTGGCTGCTGCTGAGTTAACTCCATGTCGCCCAGCTGAAGATGGTTTTTGGGATGATGTTGTGCACGACTTCCAGACCCTTCCCATTCAGATTCCCACGTCAAGAAATATCCATGGAATTACTTATGAAACGGCCAAGATACCCATCCAAATACGTGGTCAGCCCTTTTACAGACCCAAGAGCAAAGCGGAGGAAAGCCATCACTGAACCGAGTCACACCATCAACCCAATCTTCATCCATGAAAGCCTGGAGGACTGGAATGAACTGAAGGATTGGATAGAAGCAGATGACAGTCAGCCTCCTTACTCTGTGGTTTTACTTATTCCTGATGAATTTGAAGTGAGTAGAGGCTTTTTTCAAGACCTTGTGACATGCAACTTGTGGTTGGCAACCTATGTAAGTTCATGTACACCTTTTTATGATGATATAGTGTGCAATTTGAAGTACTTGACATTGTTTTTTTTTGTAGCATGTTGATGCCCTAACATTCATTTTGAATAGAGACAATGCGCCGGATAACACTACAATACGTTACAAATAAGATTGTAATTTGCCCTATCTTGTGGTACGTATAAGATTACATAGGTGTAATTTGCAGTATGAATAGGGTAAACCAACTAATACATAAAGCATTTTGTAGGAACAAATAATGAGGAAGTCCAAAGGCAATGTCAAAGATTGGGCTGCAAACAAACTTTTAACCAAACAAGATTGGCGATCATTGGAAAGGGTAAAATATAAATTGTTAACACAACGTTACAAATACTTTAAATGATTAATCCAATTTTATTTTTTGGGGCCAGGTTTTAATTCCTTTGAACATTGAAAACAAGCATTGGATTTTGGCTGAAGTTGTCATTGATAAGAAGCGGGTTAGGGTTTATGACTCAATGAAGACGGCAAGAAGTGTATTTTATGTTAGGGAACTGTGTGAACGCCTGCCCTACCTCCATCGGGTGTTTACGATGTCACTGGAAGAGGGTGAAGCACAACCATGGGTTGCTGAGTTAGTTGAGGGTGTTCCCCAACAGGGTGGAGGGTATTACATTAAACTTTATTTACATTACATATATTGTCTGTCTGCATATGGTAAATGTCTGTCTTCTTTGTAATTGTCTGTCTACAGGTCAGGAGAGTGCGGAGTGATGATTGCAGCCTTTGCAGAGCATCTTTTAATGGGAAAGGACTTGCTTCCAGGTTGTGAGTATGCCAACATGTGGAACAAGAGATGCCAATATGCTGTTCGATTGTGGGGAGTGAAGAAGGTGGAGGAATCATAGGAATTCTTCATTAGCTTGGGAAGCCTATTTTTGTGGGTTAATAGTCCAGCTTTGCAAACATTATGAATTTCCCTGTACGATGTGTGTGGAACATTATGTTTTCTTTTTGTGTTTGTTGCAAACTATACAAAGGTGGCATTTGAGAAAAAGCGGTTACATGAACATAATTTCAGCAAATGCAATTAAGTTTTTTATGTTAATATGTCTGGCAGGGAATTCAATTTTGTCTGTGTCGGTATGTTAATATGTCTGGCAGGGTATTCATTTTTGTCTGTCTCGGTATGTGAATATGTCTGGCAGAGTATTCATTTTTGTCTGTCTCGGAAGTTTCATTCCAACTACAAATCAATCAAAACACAAACGAGGGAGTTTCAATGACAAGTCATTTCAAATTCCAACTAAAAATTCATTCTTAACTACATACAACGGTCATTCATAATAAGCGTAGATTCAAATCCAACCCCTTATCATTCACACAGGGTGTTAATACGCTCAATTCATAAATTTCATTTGAGGCGTCAGTTGTGTGCATTCCACTAGGCTTCTTCCTTGTTTTATTTGGTTTTGGATCCGCCTGAAAATTTCATTACAAACTATACTTAATAAATTAAAAGACCAAACCTAAAACACTATAATAAAATGTATATGTAATTGCATTAAACCTTCTGATTCTTCTTTGATTTTTCAAGAGGGCCCTTTATGCGGTTTTTCCTCGGTGCACCCTTCCTTTTTGTGATCTTCGGATCTTGAATTGGACCCGACGCCTCCCCATGCACATTTGTATGTAATTGTGGAAGTTGTGTCATGACACCACAAATGGAATAAGTTGTAGTTGACCCAGCACACTTATGCAATTGGTTTTGCATCCATTGCATAACGCTTTTATTGTAACACTTGAGATTTAATATAAACGGATTAATAGTACTACTCATACCAACAGAGGTGCATCTCCTTTTAAGGGAGCTCATTACCTAAGAACTCCAAAGTTAAGCGTGCTTGCTCGGGAGTAGTCTTGGGATGGGTGACCCCCTGGGAAGTTTCTCAGGGCGCGCATGAGTGAGGACAAAGTGCGCGGTAAAGGCTCGTGGTGGTTTGTGGGGACAGTACTAGAGGTCCGGAGTAACTACCTCGGGTCTGGTGGGGCCGGGGTGTTACAGGTGGTATCAGAGCAACCCCGCGACAGTGTGATGACCCGTTGGATATCGGGCAAGCACTTAGCGGGGGAAGATTCTGGGATTTGATTGAGATTTGAGATTGGTTCAAGGGCGCAACGAGGACGTTGCGATCCTAAGTGGGGGTGATTGTAACACTTGAGATTTAATATAAATGGATTAATAGTACTACTCATACCAACAGAGGTGCATCTCCTTTTAAGGGAGCTCATTACCTAAGAACTCCAAAGTTAAGCGTGCTTGCTCGGGAGTAGTCTTGGGATGGGTGACCCCCTGGGAAGTTTCTCAGGGCGCGCATGAGTGAGGACAAAGTGCGCGGTAAAGGCTCGTGGTGGTTTGTGGTGACAGTACTATTGGTCCGGAGTAACTACCTCGGGTCTGGTGGGGCCGGGGTGTTACATTTATACTTTTCCTCATCATCGGCAATGACATTTGCAAGATCTTCAAAAGTCTTACACAACTTGTCATACCGTTGTTGCTCCACTGTTGTGATCCACCCATCATAGTTTATTTTCACTCGTGTGTAAGGGCGCTTTACATCTTGCCTCCATCTCCGCATGATGTACACCTCAGGCAAGATTTTTACATCGTTGCGCTGTAGAACCATAAACATATGTCTACACACAATGCCTCTAAATTCAAACAAATGACAACTACATTTGCATTCACACAAGCCAGAATCATATTCCACTATGAAGTAAACAGTCTTGTAAAAGTCCTCTGTTATTTTAACTTCTTCTTTGACATGATAAATTTTACCGCCATCCCATTGAATGATGTCACAATAAAGCTTGCCAACCACTTCATCTCGAAACTCCTTGAACTTCGCCATTGTGTATATTCCTTGCATTTGTTTCTCCATAGGAAATTTCGAAACACACAGTACCAATTTTGAAAATGACTCAGCGTCCGCTTGAAACTCTTTTTCAGCCTTAAATTTTAAGGCACAACCATATTGCTCCACGAATTGTTTTAGACTTGTTTTAGAATGCACAAAATGGTCGAAGAAAGCGTTGATGCTCTCACTTCGTTGAGTTGTGGACATACCTGCCCAGAATGAAGTTTTCAAGTAACAAGGTACCCACCTTTGGCGTTCTTCAAACATGACCTTAAGCCATTCATCATCTTGAAGTGAATACCTATAATGAATACACAACTCATTAGTTACAACCAATTTGTCTAGCACAGACAAATTTTTTTTGTCAGTTGGACATACACAAGCATTATGTCCCAGACTACTAATGTCTGGCACAGACAAATTTTGTCTGTCAGTTTGATATACACAAGCATTATGTCCCAGACTACTATTGTCTGGCACAGACAAATTTTGTCTGTCAGTTTGACATACAAGCATTATGTCCCAGACTACTAATGTCTGGCACAGACAAATTTTGTATGGCAGTTTGACATATAAGCATTATGTCCCAGACTACTAATGTCTAGCACAGACAAATTTTGTCTGTCAGTTTGACATTCAAGCATTATTCCCAGACTACTAATGTCTAGCACAGACTAATTTTGTCTGTCAGTTTGACATATAAACATTATGTCCCAGACTACTAATGTCTGGCACAAACAAATTTTGTCTGTCAGTTTGACATACAAGCATTATGTCCCAGACTACTAATGTCTGGCACAGACAAATTATGTCTGTCAGTTTGACATACAAGCATCATTATGTCCCAGACTATTGATGTCTGGCACAGACAAATGTTGTCTGTCAGTTTGACATATAAGCATTATGTCCCAGACTACTAATGTCTATCACCTTTCCAAATGTGAATTCCAACCAACTTCAAAGTCAACAGGGAATTGAGAGTCATATACTGCATCATGTATACCGGCCATAATTTCATCTTTATGGGTAAACCCACCCAACTTCTCCGGAAGCTTCTTCATTATGTGCCATAAACACCATCGGTGTCGTGTATTTGGAAACACTATTTGGATGGCATTTTGCATAGCACGATCTTGGTCGGTAATAATTCCGTGAGGGGCAATACCGTCCATACACTCAAGCCAAGCTCTAAAAAGCCACACAAACGTTTGCGTATCTTCACTCGAGATGAGGCCACAACCAAGCAAGATTGATTGTCTGTGGTGATTCACTCCTACAAATGGCGCGAATGGCATGTCATAACGATTGGTAAGATATGTCGTGTCAAAAGTATGTAATAACATCACCAAAATCTTTGTAAGCATATCGACATCGATTGTCCGCCCAAAATACATTCCGTAAGCGTGACTCTTCATCCAAATCAAGCATAAAGAAGAACCCGGAGCATTGTGCTTGCATTTTAAAAAAAAAAATCTTGCAATGCAACTGCATCACCAACCCCCAACCTAAGTTGACGCACCTTATCTATATAGTTCCGACAATCCTTTTCAATGAATGGAAGTTGATCATATCCACCCGCTTCTACGACCTGTGAGTGGAAACTCTTATTAAGTCGTATACCCGCGACATCATTGATTGCAATTTGCTTCATAGCTTTTGGTGTCAACCTCCTATAACACCGAAATAGTCTAGCCTTCGTTGGACTCATAGGGTGGTTATGATCTAAACAACACGTTGAAATGACCCATGCTCCTTCATAATTTATACGTGCTCTAATTTTAGCCAAGCAACCAAATTGCATTGAAGGTTGAGGTTTAAAAACATTTTGTGCCCGACTTTGTCTATTTCCCGCACGCCCGCACTGTAATGCAATTGCAATTGTGCTTCCTTCTGCGTCTTTCCTTGAATTTCGTATTCTAACAGGAAACCCTACTCTTCTCCCGTATTCCTTGTAAAAATCATGCACTGCATCTTTACTTGGGAACTCCATGCCAACAAAGGGAACTTTATTACAAATCTCTTCTTCCTCTTCATCTGTTATTTAATCAAAGGATACATGTTCACTTAAACACACACTTAATATAATGCATCACTTTTAAAGAGAATTACCATAATAGAACTATACATGTTCACTGCATCATTTTACTTAAAATACTTACTCAAGTAAAACAACACAAATGTGCAGTAGAATACATACATGCTTATACATAGTCATATACATTTTCCCCATGCGAATACAGACATTTCCGCACGCAGACAAACATTTTAAGTTGTCTGGCCGCACACACATTTTATGTACCACTCTACCAATTACGAAACCATGTTCAGTTGAAAGCAAGTATGAAACCACGTTGAGTTTAGGCTAGACAGACGCTACAAATGCAAGTTGTCTGTCTAACCAACGAAATACCAAAAAATGAGGAAAAATCAACATAGCCTTCTCCAAACAGTCCAAAGCTTCAACTTCCACACCTTCTTCAACTTCTTCCCTTGAAGTCGCATTCAGTTCAACACCCACCGGAGCTGGGAGATTACCACCGTCACCCACGGCGTCACCCACGTCATCTCCCCATGTCAAACCATTCAGTTGACCTTCTTCCCCACTCAACTCGTCCAAATGCACCTCAGTCCCCATGATATCCATCCAAGAAGATGAAGGAGGAAGGTTTGTGGAGCTTGGCTTGAGTACTGTAGCAGCCTCGAACAAAGGAAGGGGGTGTGTGTTTTTGACGGAAAAGAAGAGAGTGGGTAGAGTAGGAGAGATGTGAGAGAAAAGGGGGTAAAAAGGATGGTAAAAAGGGGAGGTTTTATATGGGGTATGAAATGGGGTATACTTGGGGTACCCATAGCAATTTTGTTCCGTATATATTTTGCATACATAGCTGTTTGTTACGATCAGGGGCGGATCTACGATTAGGAATTATACTAGGCTTAAATATTAGAGGAGTGGGACAAATGTGAAAAAAGAAAAAATTTACACTAAGAAAATTAAAAATTTCTCAATTGCCCTGGGCTTCAGCCTACCATAGCCCGTACATAGATCCTCCCCTGGTTACGATAGAGAGCTTAGCCGGTAAAATAGCCATTGGTTAGCAACACAAATATAATCTCCGGTTTGTGGATTAATATTTTAGATAGATAATTGTATATCGGACCATAGCCCTATTTTGCTTAAGTGCTTCTCTGAGGAAAGATCTGGTCC